ATTGCTACGCAACTGAGACACAAACATTCCTAAAATAAACAGAAACATCAGGAATGATGCTATTAAACTGAGAAGTAGTAACTTCAGCCCACTGACACTCACAGGCATGCTTGTAAACATAAACTATCACACTGAAAGCTTGAGTACTTAATATTTTAATTGAATCCTGCTATCAACAGCGTAAAACTGCCCTTCCTCACCTCTTTGGAAGGGAAGGTTAGGTACTGTAGCTGAGACACCCTCAGCCGCAGTCTGACCTGCTGACTACTGTCGTCCTCTCCAGGCGTGATGCGTTTCCTTTTCAGCTTTGTCCTCTCTCTACTCCACTTCCTCTGAAGTGTTAAGAGGAACTGAACTGTGTTTGCCTGTTACCCCTCACCATTTTCCCTTTGGGAGGTTATGCCCTAATTTAATAAACATTTCAGGTTTCTGGTCTTTCCAAAAGGACAGACTCAGCGTCCTGTTTGGGGTCTGCTCTCCCCCTGACTTTCTTAGTACCCAGATGGCATTTTCTGGGTGTACAGCTTCTTGCGATAGTGTGATGCTTGTGCAATGATGGTTTTTATTTCACCTAAACAGCCCGTATAATAGCTAAGAAAATTATAAATTTAGAAGTAAAAGTTTTTTTTTTTATTGATTTTTATTGATTTATTGATTAGCATTCACATTCAAATATATGAATGAATACAAAATAAAAATTACCACAAAGCAAAAACACAGGACAAAGCTAATCAAAAGGTATTGGCTGAAGCATATGCTTATTTCGCCAACCTTTTTAACACAAACAAAATAATTACAAAACAAGTAATTACATCAAAGCAAAACAACCAAGGATTTCAGTATTGTTCTCACTCTTTTCATTCTTGATTTATATATGTTTGTAATACTCTATTTTTAAACCTATTTTTAAACAAGGTAAGTGAACTACACCTTTTTAAATTACTATCATAACTATTCCACAAGTTAACTCCTCTAACAGACACACATCTCTGCTTTATGTTTGACCTTATCTTATCTTTTTCAAAGACATCTGTTCCCCTTAGGTCATATTGACTCTCTCTGACTTTAAACAGCCTCTGAATACTGCGGCAAAGCAAGTTATTTTGTGCTTTATACATTATCTGTGCCATTTTATATTCAAGTAAATCATAAAA